ACAGTAAAACAAAGTTGAAAGTTGCTCACCTTATAGAGCCAGAGAGAGAGAGAGACTGAGAGAGAGAACGCCTCTCTGAGACCTTCCTCCAACTGTACTCCAACCACTTAATTTCTACTACCTCTTCTAATATCAAATTGTGAATCCATCAACAAATGAATCCATTGATGAATCATAGCCCTCGTGATCCAGTCCCTTCTAGTTCACCCCTGAGCACTGCTGCATTAGGAACTGAGCCTTGCAGGACAGACACATCTGAAGAGCAATAGTTAAACCTCACAGTTTTGTGAACCTGAAACTTCAGGCTGGGGTCAGGCTATTTAGAAGCAGCATGGAGCCAGTCAGTTGGCAATGCTGAACCTGTGGAGAGTTTCTGCTGATCTCTCTTTCCAGCCCTGATACGGAGGCAAGGGAGGAAGCCATAGAGAATAGGATGTTAGAGCTGAAATATTAACAAGATAATTAAAACATTTAAACTATACCTTAATTTTATTGATGACTTATTAGGAAATTGTATTTTTGAATAGACACAAAGATACAAGGAAATCCATGAAATCATCACCCAGTTTTAATGGTTACTATGATTTTCCCTCCACCCTTTCTTGAGCAGTCTCTCTCTCCTCTCCCTCTCTCCTCTCCATCTCATCCCTCCCTCCCTCCTTCCCTCCCTCGTCCTCTCCCTTCCTCTCCCCCTTCCTTCTTCTCTCCTGCCTTTCTTTTCAGTTTTTCTAGAAAAGTAGGCTGAATGCTTGATTCCTTATTTCATTTTTCAAATGTCAGACTAATTTTTCAATTTAATCATTAGGTATTTGGGGGGGGATACTAAGAATTCATGGATTTTAATGTATTTGAAGAATTTCAATCCACTGCAGTCATCTTTCTCTTTTGATTAGTAGGTACTCCTATCAAGTCATCCCCTGGATAGCACTTCATAATTTTCAAGATACTCAGCATACATTAGTCATTTGAACCTCCCAAATGACCCTCTGAAGTCTGGTATTATCCCCCACGCTGTAAATGGGAAATCTAAATCATGTGGCTCAGACTGGGACTCAATGTCTAGTGTTCTTTCCAATGTATGTATTATAATGGTTGAGAGAATGAGTTAAGGTGACTGAGTTATTCTCCTGTTTGTTTTTTTTTCCAGTTTGAGATTTAAATGGCAGATGTCCTGTACCAGTGGGACTGCGGCATTAAGCAATCTCCACTTTGGAGGACATTACTTGCGGCAGACACTGTTGAGAATAATGTGATGTTGATAATACTGTAACTTAGGAAATAGCTTCTCTCAACTTTGTTTGTGAAGCATTTCAATTTTGATTACTCTGTGTGGGGCTGCTGCTCAGATGTGTGTCGTTTTATGGGCTGCCCATGTCTGGGGAGCTGGCATTACATGCTGCCTAGTGTTTTTAATTCAGAAGTTCTTCTAAAAGCAACCTTAGCCTCTTGTATTCCAGCGCTAGTTTTAATAGCATAAGCTATTTCCTTCTTATATAGCTTTGTGGGCATAGTAATAAAATAAATACTACAAAATCACTGATGAGATGAAAATTGAGCACCCTGCTTCTGTGCAGCCATGTAGGTAAAACAGTAATTGGCTCTGATAATAACTTTTGTTCTTACAAACCAAAGTCTAAATGAGAGTCACATTTGATAAATCTGCTTGTAATTACTATCAAAGGAGATAATACAAAGTTTAGATTGTTTAGTGACTCAAAATAGATTAAATAAATTGCTGTCTTTTTTGACCAATTTAAGAAAAATTTCTGAAGTTATTTCTGATATTTCTCTTACTGCTGGTAAAAAAAAATAAAATAAAATAAAAAAAGACATCATCTTCCAAGAGCATGGGTTTTCTGCTGACTGGAATGATTAACTTCCTTAAAAAAAAAATCTATGATTCTTTTTCTTGAAAACAAAGCCCTCATTATTGGATCTAATAATGCAGTCTAAGCTCATAAGCAGTTTCCTGAACATACCTACAGATTGTAAGACAAATTTAAGTGTTGACTCTATTAGGTAGTGACCTTCAGCAAATCCATTTGATATGTGATGTTATCTAAATGTAGATACCTTCACATTTTTATTCGTTGCTCAGCATCAAATCCAGGGCCTCTCACATGCTAGGCAAGCAGTCTGGTGCTGAGCTATACCCCACTCTGTATGTATGAGTTTGTTTGTTTGTTTGTTGTTGGTTTGTTTTTGTTGTTCCCCCACCCCATAGGATCTCACTCTGTAGCCCTGGCTGTCCTGGAACATTCTACGGAGACCAAGCTTGTCTTGAACTCATAGTGATTCTCCTGCCTCTGCCTCCTGAGTGCTGGGATTAAATGTGTGAGCCACCATGCCCAAGCACCACAATATATATTTTTATTTTGTTTTAAAAATATTTATTCATCCATGTGTATATACATGCACCATGGCCTACATGTAGAGGAGGTCAGAGGACAACCCTCAGGAATCTATTCTCTTTTTCTGCCATGTGGATCCCAGAGATCAAACTCAGATTGTAAGGCTTGGCAGCAGGTGTCTTCATCTACTGAGTCATTTCAATGGCCCTCTTCTTACTTTATTTATTTTCAAGACAGGGTTTCTTGTAGCCAAGGCTAACCTTGAATTCGCAATCCTCCTGCCTCCACCTCCTGAGTGCTAGGCATATGCCACCGTATCCGAGCATTCAATATATTTTTAAAGGAAAATTAAGTCATGCAGGTGACATATAATCATTTTGATAAATACATGATTTGGTGCCAAAATAGTGAATATTAATAATTTTAAAGACCTTTCCCATTGTTTTAGGAGCTAACAGTTAGAATCAGCATTCCAACTTACCATTTCTGTTGAGTTTCTATTCACTTACTGATTTAGTTTTAAATATCTGTGTTCAGTGTCCCAGGAGTATAAAAACGGGCAGAGAACAACTGGGTCTTAGTGCCAGTGTCCACAGTGACTCTGTGCTTGGTCATCCCTTCCCCAAGCCAGTCCTATAGCTACACAAAGTTGATGGAGCGTAATAAAACTAAGAAAGCTGCTCTGGTCCGCTGAGCCAATGATCCCAGAATTAAAAAGTTCTAACGAAGCTGAAACATGATGGATGAAGCCATTACCATCAACTGTATCCACAGTACACATTCTTAAAGCACCCTAATTACAGAAACCACATCCAGTCGATATAATACATATTAGCAATTTCCCGATCCTTGTAGTAGGATGGAAATTACCCTGAAAGTTTAATTAAGAAGGAAAAAAATTATGTTCAGGTATTAATTTCAGTAAAAGAGGCACTCCACTTCTTGTACAAATGCGAAGCAGTGCTGTGAGTGTGGGTTAGCCTCAGAAGGAAAGCCCTCTGTAACTGGGTGCTATGTTACTTCTGCTACCATAGAGCTTAAAGGACAAAGTTATACCCTGTTTGCGATATGTGTCTCCCCATGGGTTAAATAAAGAGGACAGATGAGGGCAGTTAGTTGGAGGTTTGGCTATAAGGAGCTATTTAAAAACAGAAGGAAAATTTGGAGCTTGTAGCAATAGGTCATCTAGACAGGATCAATTCCCTGGGCATTTTTGACACCTTCCTCTTTACTTTGACCTCAGGCTATTTATGAATGCTTATGTTCATTCAAAGAAATAAGTGGATTGTGAACTCACTGGGCTACTGTAACCATTTTAACAGTTGCCTCGGATCACCTTCAGGAGGCAGATATTTAATTGAGCCACCAACTTCCTTTAAAAATAAAAGTCACAACAGGCATGGTGTCACACACTTTTTAGTTCCAGCACTGGGGAGGCAGAGGAAGGCAGACCTCTGTGAGATCAAGGCTAGCCTGGTCTACATATTGAGTTCCAGGGCAGTTGGGGCTTCAGGGAGACCCTGTCTCAAAAAATGAACAAACAAAAAATTACAAGCAAAAAGCAAAACACGCCCCTCCCCAAAGTCACAAAGTTTACATACTGTGCTCCCATTCATGCAAATGTCCTGGATAGGTTTATCAGTAAAGACAGAAAGTGTCCTAGTGGCTCCCAGGGTTAGGGGAGAGATGGAGCTGGGGAGTGATTTGGGGAAGAGGAAAATGCTCTGGAACTAGATAGCGGTGATGCTTGCTCATCTTTGTGAAACACTAAGAACCAAGCGTGTGTAAATTAGATCTTGAATTTTAGAAAAGGTCACAAAAGATTTCAGAAATGATTAGTGATGTCTGGTTCCTAAGTGCCACGCTCCCATTTGATGTGAAGTCACGGAGTGCCAGAGCTGCATTTGGCAAAGACACCGACTTCCAGAAAGGTGAAGTGGCTTAGGCAAGCCCCACCCAATAGTCCTGGGCAGAGCTGGCACTTAGGTCTTCCACCCTTTCCCAGTGCTCCTCCACAATGACCATCCTGCACCTGCTTGTGATTTCAAGTGTCTGCAGTAACTGATAGGAATCCTTTAAAATGAAGAACAGTTCATTTGAACAAGATGCTTTTATCTGTTTGTTCCTAATGAAGGTGCAAATTACTCTCACAGATGGCAAAATCTTTGCAGAAGTGTAGACACATTTGTTGTGGTAAATTTATCTGGTCCCAACTGCTGTCTACCTGTGTCCCTAGAGGAACATGACAGAATTAACAGACCAAGGGAGCCCTCTACCTGTGTGTCTGCAGTATAGATTTCATTCACCAAATCCTTGACTTGGAAAGCTAGGAATCAATCCAGACTAGGGATTCTTGTCCTTTGTCCACCCTAGTTGACTTTGAGTATTATTTTTTGAACAAACGAAGGAGGTCTAAGGATGTCTTTGTGCTCACAATGGGATGCATAGAGTAAAAAGCTGCAGAAGTTCCTGTTCTGTAAATAAAAGGAATCAATTAATAGCCTAAATAAAAGATCCATATTTTTTTTTCCAGTGAGAATTACATTAGAATCATTATTTTCTAAGAACTTACATTCCTCTGGGGATATAAAATGTCAGTAAGCATTTTTGTTCATCCTGCATAAAAGTTTCATTGTTTCTTTGTTTCAGCCAAAGACAGAGTTGAATGTAAAAATCTTGCGGGATCCTGAGAACGTTCACCACAGAGCTGCTGTAAACAGGAACTATGGGATCAGCTTGCCATATATTACTCAGAGAAAATCACATGTAAGTAATGAGTTGCTTTAACGAACTCTTACTTTTTTAGAAAAGAGTTAGAGCCGTTTATCAGTAGTGTAAGAGATAATGTAGATTTTAAATAAGACTGTGATTCTTTCATCCTTGGAAATTTATTTGGAAACGAAATGGAGTGACTTTCATTCTGTCTATAATTAGTAATGATTAAGACAATGTAGATCTACTTTAAAAGATCTATTTGTGTTCATTCTGATTTCTCTGTTTTGATTGATAGTCCTCAGATAATGTAGTGCTATAATTTCACCAAGAAGGAAATATGTTGACAATAAGAAGAATTAGTAGAAAAATTTAGAATATTTTACGTCTTGGGTAATAGACTTACCGCTAGAAAAAGCAAAAGAAAACCACACAACAGCCTCCTTTTCAAATGGCTCATCCTCACGTAATAATGTGAAATATAAGAATAGTATTCTGAATCTGAAGCAAGCAACCTTTTATGGCGTCAAAGTGATGCGAGGCAGAAATAATCAGATGTCGATTTGCATAGAGAGACCTCAGACTCTCTGCTTGTTTTTGCTGTTGACTTAGTATTAATATGTTCTAAAGCAAGGGCTGAAGTCTTTCTGTGTTGTGGGTTTTCTTGGGAGATTTAGGAGTGATGTTTCATTTTAACTTGGAAATTAGTTGAAATCATTTCTAATACTAAAAGTAATTTCTAGGGTAAAAAATCTATATATTTAAAAAATACACTTATAACCTTTGGCTTCATTTGAAGCTCTTGGATGTATGTTTTGGCAAAATTAAAAGTAAGAACATGATTAATTTTAGGATTAAATTGCCTAACCGTTTCTAACTTGCTTAGCAATCTCAGGTTAATCTTCAGGATTTTCTTCTGTAGATACTTTCTACTGCCTGTTACTCTGAAATACATTCTCAAGTCTCTTTATATGTGCTTTATGCTATTCTCACAGGTTTGGTTTAAGAGCGCTTTATCATAGAAATACTTTTATAGCCTAAGAAATAACCAGAAAGTTAGATATTTTTATTCCTGCTGAAACTTTATTTAAAATGTCAGTGTGAATAATGTGAAGGGCTTTTTATCTGCTTCCCTTGAGCCCCAGAGCCCCTGAAATAAAAATATGATTTCTCTGGCTGCACAGACAGCAGCAGATTTCTCTTTTGTTGTTGCTGGTTTTCCTCTTCAATCCAGAATTAATATTGGCTTAGCTGGTGGAGTGCTGAGGCTTTGCAACTACTGCATTTCATGCAAACTTTCTGATGAGGGTGGAAGTTTTCAGAGGCCTACTGTGAGAGGTAGGGAGGGTTATGCTTTGCTTTATGTCTCTGAGATTCAGACTTAAATAAGGAAGTCAGAGGACTCCTAACTTTAGGGTAGAATCTTAGTTGTTTGCTATATTTGTAATAATTTATAAATAGAAGGAGTGCTGTGGGGACTGGACCGTGTCTCTGGAATGATGAGCAGTTGAGAAAGCGCTTACCCTGTGCAATGTACAGATGACATTACACTAGTGTACTATATTAAACATCCTTTCATTTATAAAAAAAAATTACTCCATGAAAATTCACACCAAACCACTTTATAATTGGGTGCATATTGTGTAGATTTTGCTCATACTATTGGCCTTCTCATCAAAATAGTTGACCCTATCATTTTATGTTGGCCTACATCAATTATGACACTAAAAAAAATGGTTTTATTTGGTTTATGACACAGACATTGTTCAAAAAGTCCTTTTTGAGAGCGTTTGGGTATTTGCTTTGAAACAACCACAGAGAACATTTGAGGGTAAAATACAGATGTTATTACACGTCTTACAAAAAAATGTTTTCAAAGAATTTATCCCACTGTGAGTCCATGTGTGTGTCACGGTGATATGTGGTTGATTAGAAGAGCAGCATCAAGGAAGGTCTCCTTTCAGGGTGCCTCTGGACATGCAAAGGGGATTGCCGCCCCACAGCTAAGGCCATGTTTCTCTACCTCTGTGGAGCTTGAACAGCTTGTCAAATGCCTGTAAATAATCTCAGGCATTTTTGACGAACAAATAGGAATAGGTATCCTGTTTGCATTATTAGTTCCCAGAATCTGGCAGTATTTTCCATCTGATGAAGACATGTCTCCTTCCTCAGCATGAGGAGCTGAGGGAAGCTTTCAGAGCATTGAAACCACACCTACTTCCCTCACCCCACCCCACCCTACCTCTAGTCATGCCACAGAACTGCCTTTGGAACATCATTTTCTGTGACTTTCTTATATAAAATTCATTTATAAAAAAGCATTGAAAGCAAGACCACTAATGATTTTAGTATTTTAAATGCACCAAACAAAACCCAAACAACCTGGTTACATGTATTCTAGGTCCTTATTGGCATGAGGAGGCAAAGACAAATCTCCAGTGTTGCTCGCATTTACCCACTGAATCTAGTTCCAGTTAGACCCTCTAATGCAACACACTAAAAGATGTGCAGAAAATTTGACTTTGATTTATTTTTTTTTCAAATAAAAAGGGTTTCTTAAAAGGCTTGAAACATGTAACTGTTAACATGAATTTTAAAAGAACGATTATGAATGCATAACAAAATAGCCAAACAAAACATGGCTTTGAATTGCTGCACAAATAACTCTGATTATAACTGTTATGACCTAGAAAAGAATCATAAAAGCATTTTTCTTTTTGGCAAGATATGAGTTGCTGTAGAATTATACCAGTTCTTTGGTCCCACTTTCCAAATAAATAAATATATAATGCAATGTAAACTTAGAACCTTTTATTTATTCATGAGGTGGAATTTAATACTATTATGACTTCCAGACTTTATGAGTCATATGTTATGCAGTGTTTCTCACTAACTTGGTCGGGTAGCAGCCACACTTCACAAATCATAGCTTCATTCTTTACTGTTCCACTCAGGGTGTGCATGGTAATCTCTCTCACCGAAAGCACAATCATTTCTGAGATGATAAAGTAATAGAAAGTGAGGCAATTGTGTTAATGTCAAATGATTAGAAGAAATACTAGAAGCACGGGGTGGGGAGGTTTCAAAACATGATTGTGATTGTGTTTTAAGCCCGTGCATATGGCCACAATTACAGTCACAACATAATTTGGCAACGGTAGCAAAATTAGATTTAAACAAATTGATGTTACACTGCAGTAATTCAGAATGAGCTTGTTGCATTTATAAACCATAACAAGAAGCAGAGCGAATTAATAAACCCTTCTTGTCACTAAAAATAAAAAAGGGAATAATTGCTGAGATGGAGTTAACGTAACAGATGACTGTAGTCAGCATCCTCCCAGCCTAGATGTGGCAAAGTGAAGGTCACCCCCATTTCAGATGACAAAGAGGGAACATTTTGTTGGTAAACAAATTAATCTTTGGAAAGGTCGCCATTTGTTTGAAGTTTTTATCCAGTCCTTGTCATCTGGAATCAGAGATTGACTGTCATTTCACCAAGCAGGGGTGCAGGGGAGGCAGACAAAGCTGCTTCTGTACATATCAGCATTCCTTGACAAAACTCCGTGCCTGATTGTGATGCTATGGGCTGCTGGTTTACAGCTGTCTCCGGACAGGAACGGAGGCCCACCCCTGAATTCCAATAAGATGGGCCTGCATGTTCCGCCTGCTGTAAGCTGGCCCTCTGCCCACAAGTAAAATGTATTGTAGTTCAAGCCAGCAATTATCTCTTTTACTTCCTTCTGTGCTGCTTCTGTTCCCTTTTTCCAAACACAGATGTGGGTATTCACTCAAGTTCTGCATCTATTCTTCCTCACACCTGCCAGGGCAGGATTTTGACAGAGGCAGAGTTTGAGGGAGCCAGCAGGCAACAATCAGATGTAATTTCTTTGAGAGCAGTTTTTAAAAAAGGAAATGTTGATTTTTTTTTTCCAGGAAATGTGGAGTCAGCATCTTGGTCCCCCTCCCTTTCCCAGGAGCATTTGGTAAATTAAATTAGTTGAACAAAAGGAAATAGCTTTAAAGACATTCTGAAATGCCACATCCTATTTATGGCACACAGTTATTACCCAAGGACTGTGATGGCATGCACGGCATCCCCACCTCTATCAGTTGCAGACAGCCTTCTCTTCAGGTTATGCAGAGAACATTTTTGAAAGCATAGCGCCTCTTCATGCCCTTCCAGACTCACAATCTGTAATGGCAATATGGCAGTGATGGAGGTGGAAAAAGTGGAGGTGGCGGAGGAGGTGGTGGTTGTGGTGGTGAGGGTGGAGGTGGAGGTGGTGGAGGTGGTGGTTGTGATGATGGTGGATGTGATGGAGTTGGTGATGGCAGAGGTGGTCAATGTCTGTGTATGCTACTGCTATTCTTGTAGCAACGGGAGAACTAAGAACCATGATGTAACAGTGGCTGATGTTCAACCCTTTTACAAAACTCCATGTTTTTGGAGCATGGAAAAGTCATCAGAGGCTGTGCCTTCAAAAAATGTTCACAAAATGCCAGGCTCTCGTAAGCTTTGTAGTTTCTCTTGAAGGCCATTGTTGGAGCTTCTGGGGGTAAGATCCTGCATGCATTCTCCAGCTGACCCCAGGTCAGGTTCAAAATACTTCTTAGCATTTAATCTGGTGATTGTGGGTCACACTATCCAATGTGAGCCTCACTAGATGGGGACTGCCCTTGACTCAACCTCCATTTCCTCACATGTAAAATTTCCTGTGGGGAGAGTATCTACTTCATGAGATGGCACCGAGATGCACCTAAGTTAGCAAAGGTCTTGGTACAAAGAAATACTCTGAAAAATATTAGTTCTTACTATTGACAATCCTCACATATTATCTTGTGCCATTGCTTTACTCTGTCATTAGCACTTATATTTTTGTTGGGACCAGGGGAGGGCAACAGCATATTGCTGAGGTCCATTCCAGCAGTACTATTTAATATTTCATGTGACAGTGTCTTCTTTCCCACACAAATATTTTGAAAGGAGCCTAGTTTCTGTGTTTTTAATCCTCCAGTGGACAGTGCTTCCTACAGAACAGTGCCGAGAAAAG